AAGGGTGGCATCATGGGCCCAGGACACTGACCTCTTCTGCCAGCCTTGCCCGGCCTCCTGGGGATGAAGCCACGGAAGCCCAGCAAATGGGAGGGGCAGAGACCCAGGCGTCCTGGGCTGCCCCGCCCAGTCCCCCTCCCACCCACCCCCGCCCCCCAGCCCCAGGGCACCGAGGAGGGAGCCGGGCAGGGGCAGGCGGCAGGGGAGGGAGGAGCGAGGGCGGGAGGGGGAGGAGGGAGCCGGGCTGGGAGGGAGGTGGGGGGGTAGGGAGGGAGAAAAAGAAAGAAAATATTTTCCGTGTCCCCGCCTGCAGAGTCAGTGTGCGGTTTGGGAGAAAATGTGTCGGATATTTTGGGGCGGTCACGTGGGCAGGCGGGCTCCGAGAGGCCCCGGGACAGTCCCAGCCTAGAGCCCGTGCCCCCCCCAGAGCCCCCCATTGCCGCGAGCCCCTGACACCGCGACGCCGCATCCCCGCGACCGCCCGACGCCGGGACCTGGGGCTCAGCGGCCTCCCTTCCCCCTCCCTCCCCTCCAGGTGAGTCAGGCGGGGAAGCAGGCTCGCCGCCGCCCGCGGACGCCTGGGTCCCCGCCGAGGTGGGCTGGGGGCGGGGGCGCTGGGGGGCGACGCCGCTCAGTCCCTGCCGGGGCTGCTCCGGCGGTCCCTAAGGCTAGAGGGGCTTCCTGCCCGACCTGGGAGTCAGCCCCGATACCGGAGGGAATGGGGAAGATTTAGACAGGCTGAGATTGGGCTGGGCTTCAGCAAAGCTTCATTTCGGTGAAGAGTGGGGAAAGCGCTTGGGGACGAGTCTTCAGCCGGGCGGCGGGGGGGGGCGGGGGGGGCGTTCTAGCCTACTTTTGTGTTTTGGAGTGTGAGGGAAGCCAGGGTTCTCTCCCGTGTGGAAAGACCTCGGCCAGCCCTAGTCAGGCTTCCCCAGGGGAGTCTGGGGGGGTGGCCTTCTGGTGCAAACTGGTCCAAGTTCCTCCTTCCCCAGCGGAATGGCTCGGTTTGGACATCGGAAGAACAAGGAAAGCATCCAGAGGCAAAAGCGCTCCTAGGTCTCTGGGTCCCGGGGAGTTTGCCTAGACAAGTGGATAGGGCAGGGGTCTGTGAAGGTCCCTTAAACCTCAGTTCTATATTCCCTGTCACCTGTCCCCAAGTGGGGGGTGAGTCTTGATTCCTTCCAGCCAAGGATGGGGGCTCCTCAGGAGTATTCGGGAGGGGACCCCAAAGGGAACAAAGGAAGAACAGGAAGACCTAGGAGTAGTCTGGGAGCCCCATTGACATGCCTCTCTGTCTTCAGCAGTTACAGCCCAGTCCCCTCAGCCTGACCCAGTATGTAGGAGGGGATCTCTGCAGGTGGCCAGAGGGTAAGAGTGTGCATGATTGTGGGGGGCAGGGGAGCCTGAGGAGGGGTCTGTAAGGCAAGAAGCTGAGATGATGGTGCCACTTTAGGGCTCATGTCCAGGGCAGCTGCAACCCCAGAGCTCAGGTCTGAGGCTCCTGCCCTTACTGTCACTCCTCAGATGCTGAGTGGGGTTGAGGACCACAGGCAGTGTCCCATATCCTTGAGGCAAGGGAAGGAAGGAGGAGGGGGCAGGGGGCAGTGTGTGCAGGGCTCCTGGAGCTTGGGTATCCCAAATAGACATACACATGCACATGCACACGCGCGCACGCTGTAGCTTAAAGCCTGGTAGGCAGCACAGGGCACACACCCCCACCCCGGCACACCCCCACCCCTGGCTCAGAAAGCCACCTAACTGGCACCTCCAGTTCCCCCCCTGCCCCACCCTGCCCGTGCCCTCCATTGCCCACACACATTCCACTGGCATTGCCTGCCAGCCTGCCTGCCTCCTGGGCACTGCCCCTCCCTGGGGCCAGTGGGGTGGAGGGAGGGCACCTGGGGATGAGAGGTGGAGACTCAAGGGTCTGGACTCCCCCAAGGGTGGCACAAGGCCAGGGAAACCCAGGCCACCGCTGCCTCCTGGGGAGCAGGCTGGGGGCCCAGGCTAGAGCAGAGGATGCCTGGGTTCTCCGCCCAGACTGGAGATGGGGTCATGGAAAAAGGTGGTCGTGTTTATACAGAGGGGAGGGGGGCAGCGGGTGGAGAGCAGCCGACAAGAGCAGCTTTGTTCCGGGCTCTAGAGCAGGCAGGGCAGCAGGGAGACGTGCCCCCCCCCCTCCATCCGGCAGCCCCCTTCATCCATGCCCTCCCTCAACTCCACCTCAGCCCTAAGAGAAGCAGCTTTGTAAGGGCCCCTTTCCCCTAGTCAGCCCCACCTCCATCTGAGGTGGCATTTTGGGAGGAGAGAAGGGTTCTCTTCCTTCCACAGGTTCCCCAAAGAACTAAGGCATCTGGGTCCCTAGTGTAGGACTGCCTTTTACTCTCTGTACCACAGTCTTCAATCCCTTAGTCCCTTCCTCCACCCGGACTTAAGACCCTCCCCTTCCCTTCCCAGAGCAGAGAGGAACCAGGGCTCAGAAATGGGATGCCTCTGTCTCCTTCCCTCTCCACTGAACTTTCAAGTCCCTTCTCTGAGGGAAATTAGGAGGAAGTCCGGGGAGCGCTGGGCTGCCCTTCACTCATTACAGCCTCATTCCTTGGTAAAGGACCAGGAGTCTGAGCATCCCTCTCTGGGACCCCGAAGTCCTCCGGCTCCTCCCTCAGGTCTCTGTTTCTGAGCTGTAAGTGAGAAGCAAAGACAGTGAGTGCTGGGGTCATATCCCAGGTCCTGTCTAAGGCAGTCAGAAGAAGGTGTGTGTGGGGGGGGGCTCTAGTAGCTTCTCACCCTTGGCATTGGAGGGGTTAATCCACCTGGAATGTGGCCCAGCCTGTTGAGCTATGGCCCAGGGGCCTCTGGGGCCGGGACTCCTGGCTCCACCGGGGCTTAACCAGGGATGAGGACTTGAGGGAATAGGGGAAGGAAAAGGAGAAGGACCCTGGGGGTTGGGGCTCAGACTTTCAGGGCCTGGGGAGAGACTGGGGTAAGGAGTCTGAGGGTGCTGGGGATATGGGTGAAGCCTGGTGAGGCTTCATACATGGGGACTGAGTGAAGCTTGGTGGGGTTGGAGTCTGAGTTCTGTAACCTCCATGTTGGTTTACCCTCAGGAGTTTGAAGGCCAAGGTAGATGAGAGATAGAAAAGAAAGGGAGGGAAGGAAGGAAGGAAAAGATAGAAAAGAGAAGAAAAAAGAAGGAAGGGAGAGAAAGGAAACCAGAGGTACAAAGACTGAGATAGATTGATTCTAGAAGCAAATTCTAATAAAAGGAGATGCAGAAATGCCTATCACCTACCTCTGGGCCTGCCCGTGCCATGGTCTCTGTGTGGTTCACTCAGTCCTTCTCTGCCCTGCATCTCAATCCATTTATGGTTCTGGCTGATAGAGGAGGTACCTAGGCTGGGGTGACTTTCTTTTCCCAGTCCCTAACTCCCTAGAGTGGGTGGTTCTGGGGCTCCTGGGAAAGCCAATGTTTCCCTTGTCAGAACAGCAGGAGAGAAAACACCCGCCTAGCCCCAGGATTCCCATTTCCTCTCTTCCTTCCTCTCTCCCTTCCCTGGGCTCAGGTTAAAAATCTCAAGGGGCAGGCTACCCTGGAGGGAGGAGAGGATGGAAGGAAGGCTTCCTGGAAGCAGAGGGCTCAGAGAAAAGGAGATGGAGAAGCAAAGTAAGAGGACAAGGAGAGGAGCTCCCTGGCATCATACCTGGCACACAGTGGGGCTTCCATCAGCATCTGCGGGTTTGAAGGAGAGTATGCAAGACCGGTTAGGGAGGGAGGGGTAACTGGAGACAGAGATAGAACTGGGAGGGGAAACTGGAAGAGGGAATCTTGAGGAAGATAGAGACAGAAGGAAATGCTAATTACAAGAGAGGTATTAAAGAAGAGAAGGCACAAAGAGAAATAACATGAGACATATATAGCATGTAATATGTGCCCCATATCATCCTAAACACTTTACATATGTTAAATCATTTAATCCTCGCAACAGCCTTATGAAGTGGGCCCTATTATTATTCCCAATTGACAAATGAGGAAACTAAATTCAGCAAAGAGAGATTAAGTAACACGCCCAAGGTCCAGCTAGCAAGTGGTGGGGACCAATTCAGGGCGCTGGCTTGAGTCCCGTGTTCCTAATCACCGGACTGCAACTCCTGTCCAGAGAGGTGTAGGGCCCCAAAGTTATTACAGAGATGTTTGCTTTCCCCAGGGTGGGGGAAAAAATACATATGTGTGTGTATATATATGTATATATATATATATGGGAAAATATATATGTATATATACATATGTATATCTCAGTCTTTGTACCTCTCTACCTTTGTACCTCTTTGTACTTTATATATATATGTATATATAAAGTAAGTTCTATGCCCAACATGGGGCTTGAACTCACAACCCCAGGATCCAGAGTTGCATGCTCTACCAACTAAGCCAGCCAGGCACCCTGAGAGTTTGGATCCTGGCTCCACCACTTACAGCCATGGGACCTTAAGCCAGTCACTTAACGTCAGTTTCCTCCTCTGTGAAATGGGAATCATAATTCCTACTTCACAGGGTTGATGTGAAGGTTAAATCAACTGTCTAGCCCAGTTGTGCTTAATGGTCCCATCTCAGCTTGGGAGTCCTCTCTTCCAGGAGTCCTAAGACCATTATTCACCTTGAAAACGAGTTTACCTTTCCCTGGGGAGTTTACCTCCTGCCCTGCCTCCTACCATGTGGTAGAGGGCCCTGAGCCAGGGCAGTACAGATCCTCGAAGCACACAGGGAAAAGCCTCCAAGGGAGAGGGGGCCATGGGGCTTTGAACCTTAGGGTGATCATTCTCTCATCCCTCCCTTTCCTCTCTTTCTCCCTAGGACTCTTGGAGACCCAGTGGGCAGGCCAGGAAGGGCGGGCACGGAGCCTCCCAGGCTGGGGCAGTGGGCATGGGCGGGGGCTGTGGCTGAAGACCTCCCCCGCCCACTGCAGACCCCAGGGGATTCAGCCTCCCTCACCGCAGCTGCCATGGCCACCAATAAGGAACGACTCTTTGCAGCGGCTGGTGTCCTGGGGCCTGGATCTGGCTACCCAGGAGCTGGCTTCCCCTTTGCCTTCCCAGGGGCTCTCAGAGGGTCTCCACCTTTCGAGATGCTGAGTCCTAGCTTCCGGGGCCTGGGCCAGCCTGACCTCCCCAAGGAGATGGCCTCTCTGTGTGAGTCTCAGGGACCTTGGGGGATGAGGGCAGGTGGCAATAGGGGTGGGTGCTATAGAAAATTGGCACCTTAGTTAGCAAGGCTGGCAGGGATGGGGGTTGGATCTAATGGAGTAGATGGCAGGGGTGGCCAGGAGGGGGGGTTGGACGAGGAGCAAATGGCATTGTTTGCAAACGAGAGTTCTCTTGCCCAAGATGCCTTGAATGTTGGGGTCTATGACTGCTTCCTGAGTAAACCGGCAGTGGGGGGGAGCACTTTGCGTGGGTCTGGTGAAGCCTGAGGCTTCTGTCTGCATGCAGTGGTGGGTACCAGGAAGCACCCCCGGGAATGGAGGAGTCTGGAAGGTCAATCAGCTGACTGTGATCGAGACTGTGACTTCGTTCTGAACTAGGGGCAGACAGCACAAAAAGGAAATGGAATGGTGCCAGGTGCCCAAAGATGTGTGGGATCAGGAAAGTCTCTTGTGGGTGCTAGGGAGGGTGGAAACGGCTGCAAAGAAGGGGGCTCTTGTACCATAAGTAATCCGGGGAGGTGGAGGGGGTGTTTCCAGAAGCATCCTATCCTCCAGCCACGTGGGTTCTGGGTGCCTCCTCTCCCTCTAGGTCTGGCATGGTGCCCATATCCTGTGCAGATCCCTACTTGTCCCTCAGGCCTGCCTTCTTTGGGTTAAGCCTTTGAGTGCTGACAGCAGACAAGCCTTAGGCCTCTCCTCTTCCCTCTGGATCTCCTTTCCTCCCACTTGGTAGTTGGTCTTCTGGACCAAGCCATTATAGGCGTGGGTGCCCATGAGCTGGAGGGCTGGGCTGCTGGGTTCAGTGGGGGTAAAAGGTTAGCGTGTGAGCCGGTAGAGAGACGCCCCCACCTGGAAAGAAAGGGAGGGGATGGAAGGAAAGACACAGAGAAGGACAGTTCCAGAGGTCTAGAAACAGAGATGGAGGCAAAGAAGACGAAAAGATAAAGACATCCTTTATAGGCTCCATAAGCTCAGGGAGAGGGAGGTGGGAGAAAAGGGGCCCTTGCCTTCCGCAGGGGCACTCGGAGGGTCGTGTGGATGTGTAAAGGGGTGACTAGTTAAGGCTGGCAGTTCTTGTGGAAAGAGTGTGCTCATCTGAAGAAGGCGTGCGTGCATGTGCAGACCGACCACATGCAGTTGTGTGTGCACAGCACATCCCCGAGACTCCGCTCATATACAGAATTCCAGTGTGTGCAACAAAGAGTGAGTGTGAGGAGTGAGGCGGTTTTAGTAGGGCTGCTGATGGTGTGCCTGGTGTTTGGTGAGAGCTGCCAGTGGCATGCCTGTAGCCCAGCCGGGGTTATTTGGGTGGCATGCAGGTGAACAAGAGAGCACAAAGCCCCCCTTTTTTGGAAACCTAGGCTGGGCTTCTCCTACCTCATTTACACCCCATGAATCAAGGTCAGGGATCAAAGTAAGGTCAAGACAGGGGAAGGGGGTCACACTGGGCTCTATCCCCCAAGGCTGCCTTGAGGGAGAGGGTGGGGGCTGAAAGGAGAAATCCAAGGGAGGAGCCAGAACCAGGGCAGGTAGCTGGGGAGGGTGCGGCTGGCAGCAGGAGACAGGCCTGGGCAGAGAGGTGTTGGTGGGGTGGGGAGGAGGGGAGGGCTTGGGTCCAGACAGCCTGCATGGGAGTGGGGCATGCAGCCCCCAGTGGTAAATGAGAGGGAGGCAGAGGGGAGAGGAAGGGATCCTGGAGTCTGGGAGGCCTCCCACAGTGGGCAGGTGGGGGGTGAAAGGGTATATAGTCTCATTTCTCTGACCCTGCTGTCCCTTTTTTGCCTGAGGCCATCCAATGGAGAGGGATTGGAGGCCTAAGTCGGGTGCCAAAGCCACACTCACCTTGAGTCTGTGTCTCTCTCTTCACCCCCTCTCTCTTAGTCTCTGAGAGGGAGGGTGGTCCTTGAAGGAGTCTGGAACTTCTCCCTGAGGCTGCCTCCAGGATCCTACTGCTGGGTCCACAGCACCTTGGAGGCATCCACGTTGAGAAGGGAAATCTTGCTCCACCTCTTGGGGTTCTCCAGGGGCCTGAGTGGGTAAGGCAGGCATCTCAGAACCGGGTGGTGGAGGAAGGGAGGGGCGGCGGGAGGGGGGCATGTGCTGCAGAAGCAAGCACAGGCCTGTGTGCATGGGAAGCAGAGGTGTGTGTGTGTGTGTGCGTGTGTGCACGAAACCCTGGGGTCTGTGTCCCTCTGTATCTCCGTGCTTTGTCAGGACTATGGGGAACAGAGTGGGCTGGGAGGGAAGGGAAGCCTTGCCCTCTTGCCCCCCTTGAGGAGATGTCTGTGGTGGTGAGGACTGAGCCCTGTTTATCCTCTGAACTTGGTTGGTGACGGCGTCCCTGGGGCAAGGAGCCCAGGCGGCACCACACTAAGTCACATGGAGAAACTGAGGGCAGGCTGGCACAGGAAGAAAAGAGTTCTACTTAAAAGAAACTGAAAAAGAGGGACTCAGAGGACTCTAAGCAAGGTGACAGAGAACTACACAGGCCAAAAGGCGCAGACACAGAGAGAACCCAGACGCTGGGAGAGGCCAGCAGAACAAGCAGGCGGGTATGGGTGGCAAGCAGGCGGCAGTGAGGCCTCCTCCAGGAAAAAACCCCAGCCGACTGCCTCCTTCCCTTCCCCTCCCCTCCCCGGTCTCTGCCGCTCAGGCTCGGGCTCCAGCTCCAGGCCTACACAAACGGGGCTTTGATTGCAACAGGAAACCTCTCCGGCGGGGGGAGCTGGGCAAGCCGCCGCCGCTGGGGCCCAGGCTGCACCCCCCCTCTCCTGGCCCCCTACCCGGTCCCAGCCCCCATCCTGCCCAGCGCTCCTTACACCCCTGCTTTGGGCCCCGTCCCCCATTCACGCCTCCCTTCTCCCTTCTGCTGCCCCCTCCTCCAGAGACCCCCCTCCCCACTGCCCTTCAGGTGGGACTCCTAAATTAGGACCTACCCTTGGGGCGGGGCTTCTGGCTTTGAAATGCCCCCTCTTCACCTTTTTGAGGGAAGGTTTTGGAAGAAAAGGAGAATTAGCGGGAGGAATTCCGAGCCAGTTATCCTCCAGCCCTATCCAGAAGGTGGCAGGAGGAGGGGGGGAAGGAGGGGTGCATAAGGAGTTAGCTGTTCCTCTCTGCACAGTCCCTCGTTGGCCAAACTCATCCTTGCCAGGGTTGTAGAGGCTCTGAGGGGTGACCATTCAAGACTCCCAGTGCTAATGGCCTTGTTAGTGGGGGAGGGGTGCGCTTCTCTTTGCCTCTGGGGTCTTGACTTTGCGGGGCTCTAGCTGGAAGGGGTGCACTGTGATGGTGGGGATCATAGATGGGAAGGGGGGTGAGTCAGGCAGCAGCCCCCCCTCATACTCCCACCAGGCTGGTGGAGAACATCTGGTTCCCATGAAATGCTAGAAGGCTAATGGGTCTAATTGCTGCAGTAAGGGCTGGGGGAACTTTGGGGATAAGAGGGGGCACTAGATTCCCCCCCCCATCCTCTTACCTTCTCCTCAAGGCTGTACTAAGACTGCCTAGAATGGGGGGTTGGGGTTGACGGGAAGGGTGGGCCTGGCACTCTAATGCCTTGTCCCTTAAAGGCCCCCCTCTCCCTGCAATGCCTGGGGAGCACACACAGATGGGGTGATGAGGAGTGGGGTGCATCTGGTGAAGAGAAAGGGGGGCTATTGAGGGCTCATGACTTCCTGGAGCCCTCCACCCCCCTCCTGTGCCCCACTCCCAACCCCCCTCCCTGTGGCCTGGCCACTTCTGGTTCTAATTACCAACCAGGCAGGCCTGACTTAATTGGGACCTTTCAGATTTGGGAGGGGGGGGGGTACTGACAGCCTGGAGTTGACTAATCAGGGCTCTTTCCCCCTGGTTTGGGGGGTATTTCCTATTCTGTACTTAAAAAAAATTTTTTTTACCAGTGACCAGATTCTGATTCAGAAATCAGAATCATTCCCCCCCTTTTTGGGGGGGCAGTGGGGGACTGGCTTCAGAAGCGGGGTATTTCAGGTCGGGGGCAAGAGCAAGGAGCTCACGCTGGGTTGGAAAGAACACTGCATTCCCGCTTCATCCCTACTTCAAGCCCCCGCGATCAGCCCTGGCACCCCGCGCCGCCCCCCGCATCCACAAGCCTGGCTCTCCTTCCCAGCCCTGCCCCCCCTCCGTCCCCGCCGCCACTCCGGCCCCTCCTCCGCGCCCGCCTTCCCTTCCCTGCCTACTCTGGCACCCCTTCCTGCTTTTTTATTCTTCCAAACTGGCGCCCCACTCCTGCAGCACCCCAGTGCGCCCCCCACCCGGTACAACAGATTCTTAGAAAAGCGCGCCCCGCCCTGGCCCAGCCACAGCCGCCAGGCGGGGGAAGGGGCCGGCCGGGCGCCTCTCCCGCTCCCCCGGCGCTCCCCGTGTGAGCGGCGCTGACAGAGCCGGCTGGGCCGGCCCGCCGGGCGGCCGGGCGGCCGGGCGGGCGGGGCGCGGGGGAGGGGGCGGTTTCCGGGAGTCGCCGCCGCTGGCGCTGTCCCGGGCCCAGGGTCCCCGATTCGGCCCGGCGGCTAGGGCAAACTCTTGACGTGGCCAACCCCCCGCCCCCCTCACCCCCTGCTCTGCCGGGCGAGGGCGCTCTGGAAGGGGCTACCGAGGGGACAGCGAGGCGGCCCTCAGATCTGATGGGCACTCAGTGTGGCACTGAAGGGGAGAAGGGGCAGTTATTGCCAATGGCGGGGAGGAGGGTGTATATGTAATGGCTCTGAGAACAGTTGACGACCGGACCCGCAGTTACAGCCGAAAGGGGCCCTTGGCAGTTTGGGGCAACTGGCACCGTTGCCTGGGGGAGGGGAGTTGGCACTCAGCAGGGCAGCTTCGTCGGAGGCGCGGTTGGCACCGTGGGGACAGTTTGGGGTGGGAGTTTTGTGCTCTGAAAGTGCGGTCAGGTTCGAGAAAGGGGCATTGAGAGAGGCGGTGGAGCGCCTGGGGAGCGTCGGTCGCGGGACGGAGCTACGGGGACTTGGAGGG